GACTAGATCATTCAACATGTCAATAACACTCCTCAAGTCCGCCATCTTTTTTCACACGAGAGCGAGGCTTTGCCATAGTGACGTCATTCTGGCAATCCCATAATTATCGGCGGATTTGGCACGCACGAAGAGAACTCAACATCGAACTTTACGAAGACGAACATGGCGTTTGGCAAAGTCGAACATTTTGTTTTGTTGACGTGACAAAGTCCGCTGTTGATAACTGTAATGTCGGATGTTGAGTCAATAGTGCGATGTTGACAACTGTGCAGTTGGATGTTGAGTTACAAATAGTCAACTAAAGTCCGATGTTGAGCCAATGGTCCGCTGTTGATAACTGTAATGTCGGATGTTGAGTCAATAGTTCGATGTTGACAACTGTAAAGTCCGTTGTTGATAACAACAAAGTTCTATGTTGACTGTAAAGTCCGATGTTGACAACGGTAAAGTTGGATGTTGAGTTACAAGTTTGCTTTTTGGCGGAGATGGTACACCATATTAGGCAACCTGGAAAGAGCGCCTTAAAATGAGTAAAACTGCCAAGTTTGAAAGTGATTTGTTAAAAACTAACGAAGATGTAATTCCTTACAGTCGTAAAATTTTGAAGATGTTGTAATTGTATTGTGGGGGGCACAAAGTTGCCCCCCATCGTACAAACGTTTGTAAATTTCCGCAACTTTTTTCATTGCTTATTCGCACTGTTTCCATAGATTACATATTGCACATTATTTAGACAAAAGAAGAAAATAAACATATTAGTTATAACAAGAAGAGAAACATTGTCAGTTAGTGCACAGAAACCAAAGGAGCTAAGGCTTTCGAGCTGGTTAGAACAATATAGGCAGATCTGGCTCTCAAGTTATCTCAAGGGTATGTCATTCCACTATTGTTCACTTGACAAATGGAGTTTGTAGTGCGCTCTAAAAGAATTAGGAGGTAATAATTTTAGGGACATAGGTATCAGAGCTTAGAAGCAAGAAATTTAAATGAAAATTTACGATAATTTGTCCTGGCATGTATTCTATAATAACTATCTTGCGTTGCATATCTTGTTCTGTAGGAGTGTATGTTGGACACTGTGGTAAAAGAAGTTCAGAGAACAAGTGTGGAATATTGTTGCCTTTGTTTCTGATTTGGCTGATAAAAGTTGCTATTTTTAGTTTTACTAGGTTTTCAAGTTTCAAGATCCCAAGCAGTTTACAGTGTGGACCTAGATTCTCCTGTCTGTATGCAAAAAAATACATATCTAACACATTTATTAACTATTATTGATATTTTCTCTAACCTGGTTTTATATGTTACCCCCCAACTCATTAAGCCAAAGTTCAGATATGGGTAGATGAGAGTATAATAGAAATTAGTTAGCATACGCAAATTGAGAAGATGTCTAAGTTTGAAAAGAATTCCCAGATGTTTAGCTATTTTACTGTTAACATGTAAAATTTGGCTTTGCCACTAAAGATGCTCATCTAAATAAATCCCAGGGTATTTTATGCAGCTTTCGCGACTAATGTTTGGAATATTTAATCCAGCATTTTCCCTATGTGTAGATGTTATTAACACACAGTTAGTCTTATTGAAATTTATTGAAAGCTTACTCGCAGAGCAGTATTGGTAAACTTTATGCAATTCATCATTTATGACAGTTTGTAACAAGTCTAATTTCTTTGAGGAGTACAATATATTAGTATCATCCGCAAAAATTCTAAATTGTAAAGCATCCGTAGAGTTTGGAAGATCATTTATGTAGAGAAGAAAGAAAAGTAGACCAAATTTTGATCCTTGTGGTATGCCACATCTAATTGTTAATGAAGCCCATTTAATGTTACCTATCTGTATGACATACGTATACTGAGTTCTTATACTCAAATAGCTGTGAAACCATTCTAGGGGCAGACCTTTTATTCCATATTTTTCAAGCTTCCTCAGAAATATACTATAATTGACAGTATCAAATGCCTTTGAAAGGTCTAGGAAGATCCCACATGTACAAAGATGATTATTAGCTGAACTTTTAAGATAGTCTGTAATTTCAAGAATGGCTTAGTCAGTGGAAAAGCCTTTCCTAAAACCAAATTGATATTGATAAAGAATATTCTCCTTTTCTATAAAGGCCAACAGTTGATCATAAACCAGCCGCTCAGAGACTTTGCTAAAAGGAGAGGGTTGATATGGGTCTGTAGTTGCCTGCATCACTCATTAGTCCACTCTTATGAATCGGTGTGACACTCGAAATTTTCAATAGTTCAGGAACAACTCCCGAGGCTACAGACTCATTGAATAATGCTGTAAAGGGTATTGCTAATGGCTCATGAGCTACGCTGGCCAGTTTATAGGGAACTGTTAGAGACCCTTTGTTTGGGTTAAGGTTGAGAGAAGAGTAAAGATACACTAGTCTCGTTAACTGGTGACATAATGAAGCTACTGCTAGGAGACTTAATAATGTATGAAATTGGGTCAACAGTGGTATCATCTATGAGCTCTACCAGTGGTTCACTTACAATTCGAGGTGCATATCTAGTACACGCCTTTCTTTATTCTCTCTATCTTCCCCTGCAGTGTTTACCCGTACTCGAAAAAAGCGCCGCTCTCGTATAAGCGCCGCACCCATAAAAGGGAGAATTAAATAAGCGCCGCGGTGCTTAATCGACCATTTACGGTAAATCTGTGCAACGGACGATGGCTGTGTATCGGTACAAACTGTGTAACCTACCTTATTATAGGAAATTAACGCTCCATGAAATTAAGGTATTGGAAATTAACGCGACTTAAATTAACGCGAATTTAATGGAAAACGACTTTCGAATAAGGAAAATTAACGCGAAAGAGGAGGTAGAATTTCATAATAAAGGAAATTAACGCGATTAAGACAGTTAGTGGTGACAACTGGAAACAAATTTAACAAATATTGTAAACCTTCGCCTTAGCTTTTGTGAAAGATGAAAAATAAAGGGTAAATGGAAAGAAAGAAAGCTTGTAGGTAATGTTTTTAAGGTGTCAAGAATGTCTGGACAGGCTCCAAAATTGGGGTTAAAATACTGAAAATTAAGAGCGCGGAAATTAGCGCTGCACTTAATTAACGTCGCGGAAATTAACGCTCAACAAAATTAACGCGAATTTTAACGATTCGCGTTAATTTCATGGAGCGTTAATTTCCTATAAGAAGGTATTCCAGATTTCTCTAATCGATTTTTTTGAAGTAGTTATGTTCGAACCTTGTATACAACATATGTGTGATCGAAAACTGGGATTATATTTTTTTCTTTCTTGCGTTCTTGCGACTCCTGCAACTTCCTCTCGGATTATGACTCCGCACCTAGCTTACACTATAGGTGAATAAACATTCTGGTTAGGGCTTCGTCCATTTGATGTTTGCTGGATCTTAACGAGCTGCGTTTTTTCATTACACCTGACCGACTCTGTTGCAAGGGAATTCCAGAAAATCCAACGCGATTGTTCTTGTGTGATTGTTCTTTTTTTTAATCTTCTTCATGTAGCAAGTCTCAGATTTAGTTTAGTTTTTCTGTGTGTTCAGTTTGCATTTTCTGCGTCAGCCCTACATTTCTTGGTAAGATGAATAAGTAGATTAATCGCACTGTGGTCTCAAGGCTTTTATATTCCCTCCTTGGATTTCTTTTGTGAGAAGAACCTTCACCGGTTTTTTCGTCCACTGGCAAATGAAAGACCTCTTTTTCTATAACGTCCACGGGATCCTATGTCTGAAAATAATTGCCGTGGTCAATGAAGGCGCGATAGTACTGAACATATGAACGACATTAAAGGGCTCGCCTGACTTAGCTGCTGGCTCAACTCTTTTTTAGAAACCTTTGGCCCGGTTCAGACGCCGAACTGATCATGAACCGAACCTAATACACTGAATTAAGTACATGAAAAGTTCCGCATCTGAATCTACTAGGAACGCCTATTTGAATTTGGAACTGCTCAGCCGTTCTTTCCGCCTAGCGTTGCCGGGAATTTCGACTGTGGAACGACTTTGGAACGGTTTTGATCCAGACGCCGAACTTTTCATGTACCGAACCTAACGCATAAATTATAGGAACGTATTTTGCAAGCAGTTTGACCAAAATGAGCATTTTACTCCTTTTGAATTTAGTTCGGCTGGAATTAAGATCGGCGTTTGAATCAATTCCGGCAGTCTAAATAATTTTGGTCGGCCTTAGGTCGAATTAGGTTCGGCTCATGAAAAGTTCGGCGTCTGAACCGGGCCTTAGTTTCTCTTCGGATGACCGTTGCGTAACTCACAGCGGACCTTCTAGCTGGGTTGCATGAACTCTGCTCTGTGTGGGGAGTTTCTATCACTCCATAGAGTCGAGATGTTCTTATATACGAATTGTTTCGGCTAGCCTGAGTTAAAACACAAAGTTCTCATGCGACGTCGGAATGTTCAGCTATCCTTTATTATTCTCTTTGCGAAGGTAAAAAAAAACTGTTCCTTAAATGAAAATGTATTTCCTTCTTATCGAATCATTAGCATTGGAGCTTAAACTGCTTAAAACTTTGCATTGCTTTGCGTCGTAACTAAAAGAACTGGTAAAAGTATTCTCCCCTCGACTCCGATTCACTTTTAACAAGAAGGAGACGACAAAAAGCCTCAAAAAGTGAAACTTGTGTATATAAGGATGTTGGCACTTAACGAAAATAAACGTATAGGTAACAAAAGCCAAAAAATTATCCAGCTGGATTTTTGAAAACGTACGAAACGAAAATTGCAGCGGTTTGACTGAGAAAACAACCAAAAACCGGAGGCAAGTTTTTTTGGCCTACGATGAGCCTGAAAATCACACTAGAAAAGGAAAAGAAAAAAAATGGAAACAGCGACGAGAAAGAAAGGAGGAGAAGAAAAAAAGCAATGGCCGCGCTCTTAGTTTTTAAGTTCGGTTCTTTGAAGACAGCATTTGAAAGAAAAAAAAAGCTATCTGATGGGAGAGATCTATTTTGGCCGTAAAGTTATAGCATAAAAACCCAACTGGATATATATTTTTCACCCATGCAGCTAACAGGAATCTGATTAAAAAAGGACAACCTCGTCCCCAGGGCTTTTCCCTTAAAAAATGGGTGGGCCGCCCCACCCATTTTTTAAGGGAAAAGCCCTGGGGACGAGGTTGAAAAAAGGATATATTTTAAAATCTAATAACTAAGTAATGGCTTTCTTTTTTTTTCGATTTTTAAGCCTTTCCAGTAAATTTGTCGTAATTTTAAAGCTTACAGCTCAATCTATCACTTTGTTAACTCCCTGTTACCTTGGTGTTCCTTGAGTGGAGCATGGTCTTCCTGTGCAATAGCCAACTGTGATTAATATTTATCCTTTTTGATGAACAAAAAAACCCGTCTTTTTCATCGCCGAAAACTAGGTGGCAGTTATCCTTTTTTCCTTAAGTTTTCTGCAAAACTAACAGACTTTTTGCGCATTTTTCGTTTGAACGCATAATGTCAGTTACCGTGGGTATCCTGTGTTAAATGCTTAAAATGTTTAACACTTAATTTTGACATGTTCCACCGAAAGGAATTTGGCAGATTTTGCTAGATAGTCCACCCTTACTTAAATGGCGTTGAAAACCGTTTAGCGGTTACGCAAAAAAGCCACGACAAACAGACACCAAAACGCAGTGGAATACATTGCAGGTAAGTCTGTTTTATTCATTTCATTTAAGAAAAAGTAAGGTTTAGCGTTTTTTAGCGTTCGCAGATCTCTGTAATATATTTCTCATGCACAGTCTCTTATATTTTCAACGGTCGCCTGTAACACGACACCGGCGCGTCACCTATGGTATGTAAATTACATTACACCCTTCTCTCGTAACGTGAGTTTGGGCCACCTGTGGATTGACGGAACTAAGAATTTAGTTAGCATGTATTTATGGCAAATACTTAATATTCATTTATATATGTACTTATTTATTTTACGTTGTGTATATCTTCACATCATCACTGACGGGAGCAACGAACACGTATTATGGAATTAAACATTCGTCATTACAAATTCTTTGCATTACGAAGGGAAACCATTGGATGCCAAAGATTTACACCTCAGCAACCTTCAATGACGTAAACCTCGGTCAAAGTCTGGGGCTTAATTGAGGCAAGTGAAGAACCGGGCACAGCCCCTGTAAGGCGGAAGTTGTTACACACTTCTATCCAAACAACATGGCTCAAAGCAAGAGCCCTGTAAGGCCTTTAAAACTTTCGGTGTGCAAAATAAGAAAGGAAATTCCGGGTCAAGTCTTTGCAACTATTGGTAGTGGCTGCATTCTAGAACTAGGATGGCTTTGGGAAATGGAAGAACATCAGAATTCTTTGACTGACAGAAAGGGTCAGATATTTCTGGTAACAACGAATCAAGTGATCAAAAAACGCGATCTGAACCAAAAAGCTTTTAAAGCCGATTTCCTACCCGTGAAACGAGGAGGTATTCAAACCTTCAATCTCAATAGTATTCCCCTAGAGGACGTAATCGAGTTACCAATCTCTGGTCAAAATGAGATTTCGCTGATCTTGATTCCCACTGAGCCGTTGCACAAGCAGAAGCTTATTTCGTGGTTTTCAAGGCAACAGTTCCAGTCTACTCGCTCTCGGCAGTGCCAAAAAAATAGCGGTGAATCAGGATCTCAAGCAGCCGAAAGTAAAGAAGAGTTCCACTGCTGCGTCGTACGTGAAAATGACGCAGGAGACACATTTGACCTAAAAGGATACACGTTAGTTAGCGGTGGATGAAAACTGTTCACACTATCTTAGAGTTCCTGGAAACAACTCAAAACTCAGAAAGTTAGAGGACTTCAGCAACAACGAATTTCCAAAAGGATCAGTAATTTTGAATGAGCAAGAGGAAATTGTTCAATTTTTGGCTTTTGGCAAAGATGAAGAGATTCTTCCAGTGTTTTTTCCACAAGGTATTAAGCTTAGACAGGCAAAGTGAATATTAATCGAGCCATGCATGGCGTAAAGATTTTTTTCCTGTGTTCCAGTAAGATTTAAAAAACTTGGAATACCTCGATGGTCGGTATTCTAACACCCTTAGGAACTAATTTATATTGTAGATAAGCAAGACATCATGATAGGACCTATTATTATCTCCCTTGAGTTAAACCATAACTAAGTGTCATGACTTTGAATTTAAAACAACAAAAAAATTGGTGCATAAGTTACCCCATAGTTGTATGTTATACTGAGCCTGTCTCTATCAATCTCCTCTAACATAATAGTGGCTAGGTATAGCTGAAAGGTATGAGTTGATCATGAATGCAAGAGGGGGTGGGGGGGGGTCATGAATATAAAAATGGAAAAAACAACAACAACAATAAGCAAACAAGAGATTAATTCCTTTTGGCACGCATATTCTTGATAATGAGTTCCTTGGAACAAAGCCAAGTTGAAATCAAAACTGATTCTCATTTGCCTATATCATGATTAGGTTTAACCAATTTTTTTGACAACATGAGACTTGAACTTGAAAAACTGGCAACGTGTCTGTAGGGTTTTAAAAGCAGTAACAAGTATGTATAACACAGCTTCTTTGAGAATTAACGTGGCCACGATTCAAATTCCTCGCCAGTTTTCATTTTCCTATAAATGCTTTTGCAGAAGGAAATCAGGCAAGCAACGTCAAACTAACTGTGGACTTGCCTCAAGACTCTGGATCTTCTGGGACAAATGGTGATGCCAAAAGAGACAAACAGAACAATCTGCATCCTGAGAGTTTCCTTTCTTTACCAGACAGCACTATAATGAAAAAAGATGTCCAGAATCCAGATGATACAAACTTTGAAAGTATGTACACATTTATATCCAGAAAACTGTGCTCACCACAAACATTTGTAACTATCTATGTACGATTTAACTCATTATTCTTTCTATTCAACTCTTATTTAGTAATATTAAATATCACTAATCATTATTTTATTTTTATCAGTGCTTCACATTTTAGTTACCCAATCATATTGTTTTATCTTTCACTTTTTCCATTAGTTTCCAATGGTAACAGGCGTGAGCCAGCTGAACTGTCCTTTCACTCAGTTACGTTCGACGCACAGACAAGTACCAGTACAGGTGATGGATGTGCCTCTTTACAGCTTCATTTCATCGTTTCGCAAACTATTTTATTCTTCTTGTTATTTTCAACAGCAGTAAGGAATTTAAAATTCTTATATTTTATTATTACTATGACTATTATATTTACTTTTATTATATCTGAATCTGAAAACAAAACAATTATAAAGAACAAGAATATAATGCACCAAAACTTAAATAACTGGCCACAGGAAAGTTGACAACAATGAAGATCAAAAATCTTAATCCAAAGTTTTGACAATTACTATAACTATCACTATAATAATAATAATAATAAATAATATTATTATCATAATCATTCAATGATTCAAGAAGGATCATTAAATCCAGAATACCTTAAAAATGATTAAACCATAATTTGCAGAATTGGGAAACAGACCAGGAACCAATTCAAATGATGACCTTGGGGCTAAACCACATGGAATTCAAAGAAGTGAAAGTGAGCGACCATTGACACCAACAACAAGAAAAAAGTTGTTAAAGAGCTCCTACAGTCTTCCTGGCCTTATAGCTTTGAAACCAGGTTAAGTACATGCCACAGAACTAGAGAGATCCTTAAACTGTAAAATAGATATTTTGTTCCTTTAAGACATAGAATTTGCTCCTGCAATGACTTATCACAGAGTTGCAAATAAGTCTGTGAACATCACTGTCCAAGCAAGGCTATGTCATCCGTGCATGGTCACCTCCCATGTTTTGCATTCTGCACTAAGTTACCAACAACCCTTACATATTATAACATAACAAAAGTAAAGCATGTGCTCTGATTGGTCAGTTAGCCATCAACCATTTGTCCATTGGTGCACGCCAATGAAAAGCTAGCGCAGTAAAACTGAACCAATTTGAGAAAATCTCCTTTCTTGTAAGGTCAAAAATGCATGAGTAAAATAAACAAATGAAAAGTAGGAGTTGAAAAAGTACTTAGTTGTGGCTTTGAGGGAAAGTGGAAAGATCAAGTGACAAGTTTGCCTTGAAGTACTTCATCCTTGTTTACTTTGTGGCGGGAACAACCGAGTGAGCAAAGTTTTTACAGGATTAAGGTACTTTTTGTACTTATGGTGGAGAAAATTACAATTAGAATGGGAATGCATCAATTAGCATATTGTTTCATTAAAATTTCAGCAAAGTCGATGTTAAATTCAAGCAAATATTTTAGGAAATGCACTCAGATTGGAGACAGTTTTCTTGTGTAGCTTTGGTCTAATTTTAGTCACGAGTACAGACAAACGCTGCTGGAATTGTAGTGCGAATTTCATTTGAGAACAGAAACATTTGGGTTTTCAAATAAATTTTTCAAAAAATAACTTCTCTGCTTTTATTTTGTTCGTGTTCATTTATAACAGTAGTTCAAAGGACGATTGTAAGACAACAGCATCTAAAGTGCTCATGGCAGCATTGCTTCAGCGCCGTCTGTGGTGGCGAATGTTTGCTATTGCCAACTTTTAAGTTCCATTTCCTTGGACAAGTTTCAATATGAAGCTAATTGATTTCTTTAAAAATTTAAGGTTACCTGTTATCCAAAGAGAATACAGTCAATTTTTCTTATTTCTACTTTAATTAAGTTAACTGCAAAAGTTGTCACACATTTTATTGTACTTTGCACAGTTTTTGAGTTGGTGTTCATAGTTGCAGCTATAGTTTTCCCTCAGAGCATTTACCCTAATATCAAGATGCCATTCAGAATAACAACAAAAAACGTTTTGCAATTTACTTTAAGAGAGAGAACGGTTGATTCAGCAAAAGAAAAAATTCAAAGACTTGTTTTTGAAAGGCAAGATTTGTTTATGTGCAGGTAGATAATAGACAGCATACATCAACTTGTTTATGGTAATGATGACTGACTATAAAACTGAAAGCAAATGGAAATGTTTCTCTTTTGATTATGTTATAAAACTAATGACAAAACGTGTAAATCATTAAGTGAATTTAGAAACCGAATGCGTGATAAGGATCTGACATCTCTTATTGATGATGGATGCAAAGGATGTCTTCTGTGTGATAGTTGATGTCTCATCGGAAATCATTTTAGCATTTTAGCACTCAGCTTTAGTATTTTAGCTAACAATTTGTAACATATTGTATGGATTTTTTATCTACTTAATTATTGTATCTATTATATTTTAACTGTAGGTGTCCCCTATTAGTAGAGGGCCTGCCCCTCGGCTAGTTTTTCTTTCTTGACACATAAATAAAGCTTCTGTCTATCTATCTAAAATGGTAAATGTTGCAGCTGTGCAACTGTCAAGTTATGGCTGCCTTTGGAAGGTTTGCTAAGCACTCAGGATGCTATAGTTGCTCAAGGGGTACTCTTACACTTTTTTTAATGCTTAGAAAACTCCTGCATGCATCCATAACTCAATGGTTGCACGCTACACGTCTACCATTTCTTAAATTTATAACAGCTTACAATTTCTAAAAACTAGTTCTCACCAATTGTTTTTATTGATAGACATCCACCATACTGAAAATTAATTAAAAATTATAGTAATTAAATTCAATGGTATCAAATTTGGAATTCCTTGTCTAGGGGGACTAGAGGATTTAAAACAAAAAAATGACAAACACAATTAATGAAAAGCAATTCGTAAAGGTAAATTATCAACACATAATATTGACTGCTTTTATTTAGAGTTAGGATTCGACAGTACTAGATATAATTGCCACTAAAACAATTGTGTTGTATTATTTTATGCTTGATTTAAAGAATTTCAAACTAAAGGACAAGAAGCTGTTAATATAAAAATTGAAAATCACCTGAGAAGATAGAAAGTTGAGACCTGAATCTAAAGAAAAAATGACATGAATAAAGCAAACTCCACTGAAAAAGTGTGTATTGCCCTGATATTGCTCTGATCTGTTTTCTCTAATCAACTTTTTCTCTAATCAACTTATCTGTTTTCTCTAATCAACTTAATATAAATACCACAAGCACACAATCAGACTGCAAACTAAATTTTAAATACAGTGGATAATGTATAAAGATCTATTGCTATTTATATCCTATTTCAGGGGCAACAGTTGAAAAGGTGATAATGCATGCACATAGTGTTTACGTAAGGGAAACACTCATGCGCTACTTAGACACTACTTACACCAGGAATAATGAGAATTGGCAGCACCTGGCCAGCCGTCAAGGGGTTTCTGAAGACCTTATCATGAGGTTGAAACTGCTATCTCCAGAAAGTCGCTCTGAGGCACTGTTTCAGCTCTTGAAAGCAACTTCTCCTGATTTGTCTGCTGGAACTCTGAGATGCCACCTCATGGATCTGCCAATGAAAAATGTGCTAGAGTGCATAAAGGATCTCCATGGTAATTTACAGTGAGATGTAAAATAAATCTGATACTGCTACATAACTGAACGTAAATAATGAAGGTTTGGCTGGAAAAAGGGCCTAATATTATTGTTTATATTTTCGCCGACAAAAAGAAGTTGACTTTCAGTACACTAACTCGTCTTAACATGTATCAAACATAAGCTAAAGTTTATCATTGCGGCTTTGTCAGCCACGCTTGCAAAAATGTTAAACCCGCAGTATTTTAATATTTAAAAATCAACTCAATATAACATTATTCAATAATGTTTAGCCAAGTTAATTTTGGTGTAGCAAAATGCTGGTTTAGGTAATATGTCAACATAATTACATTGTTAGCCTATGAAACCACCTGCTTCTCATCACATCCTATACTGTTCACAGTCCCCTATTTTTTCGTAAGATTGTCAGGATCGAGAGCTTACCAGTCCAGGCAGCCATCATGGTTTCATAGGTAGCAAGGAGGCAGGTGCCGGAGTTTGTAGCGGTGGGGGAGGGAGGCAAGAAAAATGTGCTGGTTCTTATGCTTGCCCGTCTGGATTAGAATTGAGAGATCCTTCCTGAAGTTCAGGGTATGGGGCAATCTCATTCACAGCATCTTTGTTCTGAAAGCCAGCATGTGTATTATGAGACGAAGATTCGAGGTACAAGATTGGGTAGAGAACAGTTCAATTGGGCAGACATGTCATGTTCAATAAGGGTTAGAATTGTGTACGAGTCGTGAAGTCCCTTCATAGTCTCCTCCTTTAAATCTTCGGTCCGGAAAACCTCATCGCTAACGACAGACTACTAGCTTCTGACAGATTTTGTAAGAAAGATGAAAACCGCTTTTGTTTCGCCCTGGCATTCTCTTTGAAAGCACTCCTCCAATTGCAAAGTTTTCAAAATGGTCGCCCAAGGAAGTCAAAGACTCAAACCATTCCACTTCAAATGCAAGGCCTGCAATGCAATGTAGACTATGCAAAAAATAAACTTGCGATACAACGAAAAATAATTCTCGGCCCAATTAAAAAATAATTCTTGATACACATTAGAAAAATAATTCCAAGTACCACTGAAAAATAATTCATGGCATGAATGAAAAAAGTATTCCTATAATTAAAACAAAAAATAACTCATGTTGCTAAAAATAATTACTAACATGTTGAAAAAAGTATTGTTTATTTATGACAAAAATACACAACATGTCCATAATATTTGCTGCAGTTGGATAAAATTGACTTGCATTGCAATTTTATTGTCATGATTTTGACCAGAACGGGCCTTCATACATGAGCCATATTTTGCAAGTATTTAATTTTATGATTTTTATGGATTTATAGAGATTTTTAGATTTTACAAGTATTAAATTTTGTAATTTTTCCAAAATCGCAAAAATTGCAAAATAAAGTGAGAATTAAATATCTTGCAAAATGTCCCAATAATGGGAATGATAAGAGGCACCTACATTTGCAGGCATTGTTCATTGCAATACATGAATTCATTAATCTGCAGAAAAACATGCCCTTCTTATTTTCCCTGAGCAGTTTATAATAATTAGGAAACTTGGTAAAGGCTACATTTCTCTTATGTGAAACTATTATTTTACAACTTTTCGTTGAAATCTCTAATGACAACAGCAACTATATTTTTCTTACAGATGATGCAAACATTGGTGAGGCTATAGAAGCTGGACAAGTTCCTGGAAGATTTTTCATTTTGTTAGATCAAAGACCAGAAGAAGACTGGAATAAATTGGGAAGCAAACTTGAGATTGATCCTTCACAATTAGAAGGTATAAAGAGTGACTGCGCAACACGACATCAAAATCCAGCAGAAGATGTCATAGAAATGATCTGTGCATCAAACCCAACAATGACCACCGGTCAGTTTAAGATGCACTTGCAAAACATTGAAAGAAATGATGTGAAGAACAAAATAACTGAACATGAAGGTAAGCAAGTTGAATAACAACATGATTACACAAAAACATTATTATCTTTAAGAAAAATAAAATTTAAAAACATCATTATCACATGGTCCTTAATTTATGGCACATAAAAAAGCCAAAAACAATGATAATAATATATGCATTCCCTGGCATCCAGGGTATTGGGTTTTGAAAACAACGGCCAAACAGTTTTATGTTATCCCTCTACCACGAAATATCAAGAAGAGTTTGCCCTACTTCATGTCAATCAGAAATAAATTCCTTCCACAGTTAATTTGTCAGCCCAAAATGATGATCCAAAGTAACACGAAAGTTAAAGTAAGGTGAACACGTCTTTTGAAAGCGTTTTATAGAAATGACGACTTGTAAGTGTTGTCAATAACTTTCTACACAAATTAATGTCTATGGTCTAACCACCCCCTCAGTACAATGCTGTATAAAACCAAGATGGCTGCCACAACAATAAGCGCTTGGTCCTGCTGATCTTATGCAAAAATAGGGGACTGTGAACAGTTAATACTGAACAGGGTATAGTTTTCATAGCCTGTGTTGCAAGCGTTTCCATGGGTTTTCGGATCAAAGAACAAGGAATGAGAGTCAAAGAGCGGGGAGGGGTTGGGGAAGAAAGGAAGGAAGGGCTTGCAGACAAACCCTGGGAATTTGAAAGCCATCCACATGGCATGTCATGCCTGAGTGCACACACAGACATTAATATTTTGATGCTGTTATCAGCTTTCATAAATTGACCAATAAAATGTTTGACCTTCCGTGGAGCAGAAGTGAACTTTTGAGGACACATGTCTTTGTCAAACTATTTTGGAAGCAGAAAACGGGTGGCAGCAATGGAGAAATCTCAATGAATCCAAACGATCAATGCAGGTTTTGTAATTGCAGCTTCAAAGTTAATTTTATCTTTTTCATCTGCCTAAAAAGAAGGACTGCAAGGGTGAAGTTTTGAAGTTTTTAATTTTTTTGATCCGCATCCCCGGTATTTGTATAATGCACCTATCAATGGAAATCCCGTGGGGGGGGGGGGGAATGCGGGCAATGGGCGGGGATTTGATGCCTGAGACTATCCCCCTGTCGGGCTTTTGATCGTGCGAAATGACCCCGGGGTCGGGACATTTGACTTTGACCGACAGAAGCCTGGTATTCCTGGTATAAATTCAGAAGCGGTTACCAGGTCTGTTCCTCAAGGCTTTCTGAAAGTCATGCTGTTGGAGAAAGGTATGAAGTTTTCATTTGTTTTAATCGCCATAATCCGATACTTTAAACTGTCTATAATGTCTATTTTAAGAAAGTTTTCATCTTCAAGTTTCCATCTGATTGTAAAACTTGATTGAAATCGAATTCCACCATGAGAGTCAGAGGATTTTTTACGAGTCACTGATCCAACATGTTGACCGGATGTTATAAAGCATTTTACGTTTCATTAATATTATAATAGCATGGTCAGTCTTCCTGGAGTGATTTTGTTGTTCAAAATAAGAAATGCTAGTGGAGAGAGAAAATACTTAATTACAGCGAGTAACTAAACGGAGCTTACGTTAACCTTAAATAAAAGTAGTAAGAATGTACTTTTGAAATGTTCTTTTATTCGTTTTATATAGTATTATAGTATTGTTTGTTTAGATTTTTTCCCCTGGGGTGGGGTCTCTTTTGACACTTTTGATTGACCTTTCGTTTCCCACCCTGGGGAATTTGATCAAAAAATTTTAAAATTTGTCAAATCCCCACCCCTTGCCCGCACTCCCCTCCCACGGGGTTTACATTGATAGGTGCATAAGGTCAAAGCTCAGCTAGGCAGATCTAGAAACAATGACTGCAAAAAACTAATATGCATGTCACAACCTCTCAGCATGAATCAAACCTTTGATCGACTGATGTCAATAATGTTCAACTAGCTGAGCCAATCAGGCACCCCGTTTGCTGGTGATAAGATTTTCAAAATCCCAGAGTTTGTCTGCCAGTGTTTCCTTCTCCGACCCCTCTTTCTTTGTTTGGCTCTCATTCCATTTTTTTGCTCAGCCAAAACTGAAAATCCTGTAACAGAAATGCTTGCTATGTGGGCTATAGTTTTCAGGGTATTGAGTCTCTAATGGAGTATACAATTTCACCATTCACCGTATTGAACAGGGTATTCTTTTGGAATGGAAGCCTTTAAACGAGTGTGAAGGTTGGCAATTAGCAGTCTTTTTATGGTACAAACAATTTTTCTTTTTCAAAGAATACCAAATTCCATGACCTCGTTTTAATTTTTTTCTTAAATTCTGTGTGCAAAGCAAAATGAAGTAGAGACATGAAAGATTCGTTGTCTTAAACATGCAGGGTCAAGGTTTGAATTGTCTTGGCGGGGAACACTTCTCCACCAATCATGCTAATAATATAAAGGATGTTGGTAAAAAACAAGTGGAAAATGGCTCAAAGAGCACTATTGATCATGAGTTTATGGATGCAGGTCGGGGGTGCTAAGCACTTCAACGACTACAATTGAGTCACTTTTACTTAACCGCTTACTCTAGTACCCTTGCACTTCTCTTATGTGCTGATAGCAAACATCCCTCGACTTGGTCTGCACTGCCGGCAAAAGCACGACGTGTGAACTGGGCCTCAGATTCCAACAGCCCGGCGATTGCAAAACGTACACGTACATTGGGTCGTTCTTACCTTGCGTTAAAGCTGCTCGAGCCGAGCCACTTTGCTGAATTTGCAAGGTTTAGCCCAACATAATTACGTTGTGGTAAAAAATTACTTGTGGAGGTCACCAAGGTCACTTAATCGGTCGCCGGCTTTTCTTCTCGTTAAAAAGGAAGACATTCTTCACTTTGTTCAGTTTGTTTGATTATGTATCCGTACTTTTTCAATCCACTGAACTCGAAATTGCCAGGCCGACAAGGTTGAAAGAGGGTTGAATGAGGCGAAGAGACTGTTGACGAAAGTGCTTATTTCACACCCTGGGCGCGGGGGCTGGAAGGTCGAGGGTAGCGTTCCTGAAGGGCAGCGGTGTGTAGCGCCCAACAAATTTCTCCTTTCCCGCCTTTTTTTTCGGTTCCTTGTTTAATTGAGGATCGACACAAATAAGACCCATAGGGCGCGATCCATTCAACAGAAATTCCAACCGGTCCGACCGGGAAAAGAGGAACACCTCAAAAGGTGGACCCGTTTTTTCGAAACTTTTCCGGTTGGGCCGAACCGATCCATTGAGTTTTGGACCGAAATTTCCGGAAAGTTTGGTTGAATGGATCGCGCCCATAGATTCCTTGCGACGTCCCCTCCCTACCCAATATCTAAAGATTGACACTAGGGATCATGCAGACCTTTTTGTCACTCGTTCATCTCCCCCAGGGCGGGAGGTGAGGCGATCACTTACCTAGCCTGCGTGGCAGGCGTTCAAAAGGGAAGGGAAAGGGAATTAGGGCGCGAGACCACGCGTTCTCTCGCGCCTAAAACTCCCTTTCACAAAGCTCCCTTTCCCTTCCCTTTAAAACGCCTGCCACGCAGGCTATCACTTACCCTCCTAAGCCTGCATAACAGGTTATTTACGAGCCATGCGAGGCGAACGCGGCATTTCGCGCGAAGTATGAGACGATGGGAGTAGGAACATAAAACTTCCCTACAAGTTCTTTTCAATATTTCGTCTGTACAGTGGCGGTTCTGTGAAACGGTTTCCTGACCACTAACAGATTTATAAAGACAGAACATTCTTCTCAGACTTCTCAGGCCGGGCCTACCACTATGAAGACATAATATATTTGGGCTAACCAGTTTTTGTTTTTTTCCTGCTAGCAGAAGTCTCTCACGGCAAGAGCAAAAATGAGAGGAAGGAGAGAGACTCTCTCCTTCCTCTCAGTTTTCTCTTACTGTGAGAGACCGATGTTATTTGCAACTTTGTTTTTGTGCAAAAATAAAAAAAAACATATGCTCAATTCTAAAACTGCTTATCCTTAAGGGAGTAAACGGACTAAGAAACCTTACTCTTCTTCTACTTCTTATAGCAGATCTTGAAAGTTTGACCATTACAGCTCTTCGGGACGAATTGGACCTCATGAGAGAGGTCACGCGTATGCTGAATGTAGCTGACAATAAAAGAATAAAAAACTTCAAGGATCTTGCAAAGGAATGTGGCATTCCCGCAGAAAAATACAGGAGTCTTCAACCACCCTGCACCGAGAGCCCAACGGAAGAAGTGTTGCAAGACATCGTGGCGCGTAAACCGTTTTATACAGTGCGTGAGCTATTTATTGATTTGTGCGAGATGAACCGCAAAGATGCGATTGAGGCCATTAGCATCTACTTTGTAGGTAAGGTGTTTGTTCTGATGACAACCACTTCTAATGACCGGATCGTAGCCAAACAAACATTCTTGCCTAGGTGCAGTAATATCAATGAGGCACCCTAACCCCCGCCCTAACCATATATTTCGAATGAATAAATGGTACCTGCCCTCGGGGGGGGGGGGCACTTGGGTATTTTCAGGGTGGGTATGTGCCGCCCGGGACTCCAAATTGGCAACCCGTTCTAGAAAAAATTTCCCCTAAAATTGATACCCCGTTCTAGAAATAGGCCAATTTTTTATACCCCGTTCTAGAATTCGCCCTAAAACTAACACCCCGTTCTAGAAATGGGCCAATTTTTTATACTCCGTTCTAGGGTGCAACAAGAGTACAACGGTTTTTGTTAACGCACTGAACCGTATTTTTAAAAGCAATCTGTCCTTGAATGCTTTCAAATGGCTGCTTAAAAAAGGGGAGAGCTTTCGTGCGTTCGAAATATTATACCCCGTTCTAGAAAACGCCTCTGAAATGGATACCCCGTTCTAAACCAGGAGCTTCAAAATCACGACCCCTTTGGGCGGCACATACCCGTATAGGTAATGTATGGGAGTACCCCCCCGGGTACCTGCCTCAGTTTACTCTGTGCTGGCTATGGGCCTGTAAGTATACACAGAAAGTGTTACGTCTGGGTTGCAAATCAAAACGGACATAAAGTGGAACATGTGCTAACACTGTGCTGAGGGGACATCCACGGGAAGCTTAATGCAGGTTTTCTTTTAGTCCTTGGTTAGACCAACCCTAGAATATGCATGCCCGGTATCGTCGCCCTATCTAGTTAAAGATAAGTTGGCAATCGAAAAAGTACAACGACGAGCATCGAGAATCTCTCTCTGTCAAAACCACGCGAGATGTCACTGAGATGTCATTTGAAGAACGATGTAAATTGCTAAACTGGAACACACGTCAGAATCGAAGAGAATACCTGTCTGTAGTGGAATGCTACAAGACAGTGTTTGGTCTAAATGGCTTAAAAAAGGCTTAAAAAGGTGGATGAAAATTTATTGACATAGTAGCCCATATTTTAATTGTATATATTTTCACCTTATATATCATTCTTACTATACCACTTTGTACCTGCACTAATGATTCTTACGCGCGTTTTCATATATTTTTAAAGTTCAGTTAGGGGACCTTTTAACCTCGCAGTCCTCGTTTTCAAACATGTATCATGTATCATGTTTATATACATATTTATTTGAATAAAGAAGTATTATTATTATTATTATTATTATTATTATTATTATTATTATTATTATAAATACGGCGTGGCCCTTACTTTAGGCCCCTTCTAGGCATATGCTCCTCATGTCCGCGCAATATGGTCCCGTTTATTAAACAGATAGAGGTTTCTCTTCATTGGTCTTTATTATCATATCTTCATGTATCAACACCGCATTTTAATCATAGGCATTTTACCGCAGTATTTTTATGAAGAGAACTACCTCGTGGAAGTAATGCGGGTATCAATGTTTGGACGGAGAAGGGGAAAGGACCCCCATAGGTGTGGTAATTGAACACTTTCTTTATCCTCTCTCTGAGCATTTTGACCACAGATTTTGCCCAAAACGGCAGGTTTTTAACCTCAGAAGAGGATATTTTACAACATTTGACCTATAGGGTAGGGGATTTGATAAAAAAAAAAATTGCAAAACATGTCAAATGCCGCACCTATGCCCCTTACCTCTTCCCCGGGAGGGGTACTCCTGAGAATTCTTGGTGGGGGTGTGCGTGGCGGTGTGTCAGACCAAAAAATGTACTCTTAAACCACACCCGTTGTCAAACTAGAACTCCAAAACTCATACCCGTTTCCAGACCTGGCCTTTAGGTAGAAATTGTGTTACCATACCTATATGGCTTATATAAGGGAGTACCCCCCCCCCCGACCTCTCCCCGCTCTCTGTCCAAACATTGATACCTGCCATGGCTCTTGTACCTGCATAACAGGCTGTCCAACCCGTCACCTCTCTATTTGCGGATTTTGTAAGTGGTCTTGGAAGGAAAGCAAGTTTTGGGTCTTGTCAAATAACTGCCTGTGTTGTTCAATGTCCGATAGATTAGGGGATTCGGGGGGTGGAGGTCCTAAACTGACTTTTTCAGTTTTATGTGAGTTTCTGCTTGAACCTACTTTCGTTCCTTGCAGAGGATGATGTGAAAGCCCTTAAAAGAGAACTGCAGATCACGCCAGAGTAACTGAAGTCTAACGCAAACTGGAAAATAATGTTTTTTTTTTCAAGGACACTTTTTCTGTTAAAAAGGTTTTGCGCCTAAACATATATAATTACATTGACAACCCGCGTCCCAAGTCAGATTTTGTTTTTTAAAGCAAATTGAAAAAGATCGAACTTTGAACAGTTAAAGAGCAAAGCTCAGCCTTTAAGGAATTTGCATATTTGCAGTCAGTCCTTCATTAACCATTGGGTTTTGTCGGCGTTCCAAATATGGTTTTATTAAGCATAACACCTTGAATAAAATTTGCTAGTTTCAAACAGTGCAAGTGTTGCGCTTCCCAAAAGAGAGAGATTTATTTTATTCAAATATGAATAAGATTGTAAGATGCCCATTGACCAACTTTCAAGTCATTTTGGAGTATGGAAGGAGCAAGAAATCTTTTAAATTATCAGTAGTATTCTTATGGCAGAAAATAAATTGTGCACTACAGCTTGGTTGTAATATTGTCTGACTTCCTGTGGCGTATGCACAAACACCGATTATAATGAGGCAAAAACGAACACAATAACCAGTTACTGCTAGTAGTTTAAAAAGGAAAGGTTAGATGGGTAAGAGCCTCGTTTTGTGGGTTGTATCGACCGGCTTTCATTTTATTTTTTTTTCCCTTTTTAAACTTTTTGAGCAAAGGCTGATCTTGTAAAATAAAACCGTTAAAGGAAAGTCGCAAACGAAAGGGAGTGCCAAACAAACATTTTTTTCATCAAGTCAATAGGCCACTTCCGAGTTCAAAAAACCCTCACTTTCAAAATGAGGCTACGTTCACAACCTTTCTTGTGAAAATGAGTTTTATTTTATTCCAGATCCAGCCGTGCTTATCGGTTTACTTCTAGGGTTTTGTATCTCATATCTACGATCAGATATGCCCAGCTGTGCTTAGGTCACGGCAAAACCCCGAACTAAATAGCGAACCAAACGGGTTGTTATCTTCTGGAGGTTCGAATCTTTAGTATTAAAGAAAATGTCCTCCAGTTGTGTCTTTCCTGATGAGCTGTTAACAATAGCAAAACACTTAAAGAGTCCAAGACAAGAAACAGTCTGATAATGACAACAGAGTTTAAGAGGAACATGAAAATCAAAGGTTTGGAAGCTTGTCCACCGGTGTAACAAATTTAAAGTCGCTTGGAAATAGTTCAGCTGCGCGGAGATATATGAGTCTGTAGGACTGTCGAATCGTCACATCAGCTACACCAGCAATATCGCCGATTTCTACCAAAAAAAGGGAAAAAGATGTTGGGTTACAAAATAACCTTTGAGAAGACGCAAAACAGAGATGTCGTCGCTCAAAAGCTACCGTGCGATAACAGTGGCGGATTTAGGGGTGAGGCCGGACCAAAACGAACACGCCGAAAGCGCCTTCGCCCCCCTTACCGGTCAAGCGCTTGATCTACCTCTGGCAAGTTGCGCAGCATTGGTGGAACAGGGCAAAAAACCTTTTCAGTTAAAACTAGAAAAAAATTGCCCTTGAAGCGTTCTTGTCTCGATCTGAGGATAAGTCGAGGGCTGGTAACCTCTACCCTAAATCCGCCACTAATTGTATAAGCTAAGAACGTTGACTTTGTTTCTGTGGAATAAATTGCTACATGACAATATCTAGTCTATTACAGAGTTACCCACCCATTCAAACACTGACCTAGCCAGGGGGAGAAAGCTAACAAAATTTACAGTTTATGAAAAACCAAGAAACAGCTAGGAGACAGCACTGACTAAGCCTGTTCCAGGTTCTGAGATGGTCGGGTCCGCGAATATGAGAAAGTGCGAACACGAAAATAAAACGGGTTGAACCCCCTTTTCCCAGATCACTTGCTTTCACTTTCGCGTCATCCCTACTAACTGAGAGCCTGGAACGGGCTAGCACTGACTAAAATCTCAAAGCTTCTAGCTCGGAGCGAGTGCCTCGGTAATCGGAGACACTCGGCAGCTGTAGTAAGAACAAGCGCACAACAAAGATGACCTCACAACTGAATGGCAAATACTTGCACTACCGACATTCAGTCCGGCTCTGAACTGAGTTTACAGTTAATCAAACATGTTACAGTATCGCCTTCTTCTTTTTTATCGTAAATCTTATTTTTATTAGGAGAACGTGCACAAAAAGTCTATGGAAAAATTAATATTACCAAATAAATTTCACAAGTAAAGGAACCAGACACTAATGCAAAACCCAATTTGGAGGAGATTCATAAACGAACATAAATTACGATATATCAAAAACCTTTCTGTGATCTTTTTTCATCTGACGCTTGGGATGCCATGTAAATGGCTGCAGCCGCAACTGAAATCGGACTCCGCCTAAAAGAAGAAAGAGGAAAAGGAAACAGTACGTACCGCACAAAATTTTGCTAAGTACTTATTTGTTGGGCAAATATGGACAGAAATTTGGCTCCAGACAATCATTTCACGAGTTCCTTTCTTTCGAACAGCTTCGTGCGGGCTTTTCGTGAATGACGAGAAAATCAGACTTACCCAGGAACTAAATCTAAATCAACCGCTTTACGGGCGATATGTGTAGCTGCCTTCTGTACTTCCGCTCGGAGACCAAGATTGGAACAAAATCTTGACTGAAAGAGAGAAAGGAAACATTACAAGGTTGTGCATTTAATCACGTAAACATGACATCCTGTTGTCAGCCTTTTCTTACTATTCATTTCTACGTTACAATTTCTCACACTCTGAAACACAAACAAGATGACAAGAAACAAAGTCAACTTGGGACGAAAACTTGGGTCGAACCAGCACTTTTTAAATACCTCTTCAAGCACCCACTTCTTTTTCCGACAGCATGATGATATAAAACGCATAGTTTTGATACACTGTTCACATATTCTTCTCGATAAAAAGGTTGCATTAACACCGTCTGATCTATATTCAATAACTCACAAAACTGGACGTTCTCATTTCCGAAAGTCATTGATCAGGGGTTTTTTGGAATCTTTTTTACCAACAAAGATAGGTGAAGGAGTTCTAGCGAAAATTCGAGAAAAGGTACTGATAAGATGCCGTAAAACTTCAACCCTTTTTGGCTCTTAGTTTTATTGAGAGTTACTAAATAAAAAGTGACACTTATCTCACTGACCATAAAATCCGTTGTTGTAATAAGGTGAACGCTTGTTTCCAGGGCCTTTAATATTAACTTGAAACAACGACCTATTTCTTTCTTGGAGATTTTGCTAATTGCACAAATTTCTGTGGACAAGAAGTTTCACACGTTACTACGTTAGATATTTCCAAACTTGCTATAAAGGGCGGAGGGAGGAAGTCTCGTTACTTTGGCCACATATATAATAGCCTGTGCCAGGCTCTCAGATAGTATAGTGCGGACATATTAAAACGAGCAAAGCGAAAATAAGACGCGCGCGACTTGGGAAAGGGGGCGGTGACGGCGAGAAAAATGGGAGCCCTGTCTCTCCTCAGCCCCCGCGCGTTTTTCGCATTTCTTTTTACTGAACGACTTTTCACCACTATCTCGGAGCCTGGAACAGGCTACATATATAAGAAAAAAAGATGGTGTACAGTGGTAATTAGGTACCGAAAATAAAATAAAAAAAAGGAAAAGGATAAAGAAGAACAGGAACAAAATGAATGGAGAAAATCGAGGACTGGTTTAAGATGAACCATAACAAATACACAAGGATGGGGAAAGATCACTTTAGGTGGAGAAAAATTAATGCAGACCTGCATTGATTGGGTCATCGCACCTATTAAATGATGGTGATATTTTTTTGTCAACTCAATTGCAAAACTGAGACGTAGCCATTATATGAAAATATTCTGCTCTGTTTCACTTGGTGATGGAGCCATCTGCAACACCCAAAAAACTTATAATAGCAATAAGTTATTTATATTTATACGTTTTTTTTACGTTACAGATAGTTCTACGGCCAACTGACTTCTTTCCTTTGAGCATTTTCCATTAGACAGACATTATGAGGATCATACCTTTAAACGTCCTAGGTACACCCTCCTGTCTACAGGCAATGTACAAACAAGCAGATGCAATGGCATCATTACTTCTTCCTTTTAAACTCTTTTGTTCATGAACTTGTTTAAAAAGCTCATTTGCACGGTCCTGAGAAAGAAGAAGGCACCCACTTTATCACTACATAAAATATTAAATTGACAAAATTATAGTGTATTGACCCACTTCTAGGGAGCATGTTTGCTTGGGATTCTCCAGATCTGATCTGGAGTTACAATCTAAGATCACTCAGGCCATTGTGTGTCAAAGGAACTGACAAATCCTTGTCCAAATGGGATGTAGTGGTTCCTGTGATGCATCATGGCCAATCTGAGTAATCTTGGGTCATAAAATTAATCCTGATTGTCCCAGAGGAACTACATCTAACATGTCTTAAACTAGCTCTGTTCTGCTGCATTTTGTAATAACAATGCAATTTTCTTACCACCTACACTTGTGGAATATAGGTTATGGCATTTTGTAACAACTTCAGCATTCTGTAAATTAATTGATGTATTCTATGATGTCAAGATTACTCACCTGAATTTTCCTGGGAAGATTTATCCTATCAGCCATAACACCAATTTCTCTGAAAGCATTCATAAGACTTCTGTCTGAGCCAGTTAACTGCAAAATAAATAAACCAGTTATAAAATGAAGAGACATCAAAGGACAATCTAAAGGTTTTGGTGATGTAGTGGCAAAGTGCTTTGTTTCCTGTGACCAGAGCAGAGGGAAACACAAAACAGTAATGATGTTGATGGTACTGATGAATAATGTGTAGAAATTATAATGGTTGTGTTGTCCTATCTGAGATTGTATGTCCTAGATCCATGGTAAATGATAACTAACTGCAAATTAATGTAATTATGAAAGTTAAGTAGAGACTCAAGTTGTTATTAGTTAAACATACCCCTCCTCGATTGTGGTATTTTGAGTAGCCCTCTCCTGAACTGTTCCCCTGCGGTACTCTCTCAATCATTGTTGACAGGTCACCTCCACTCAGTAATGGGTTCTGAAGTAAAAGATTAACCACATAACAACTGTCACAGCAAATATATTGGAAAGTATAGCTTTAGAAGCTAGAGCTAAAGTTAAGGTTATATAGCTCTTAAATTTACAAGCTTTATTTTAATATTTATTACATCCACTTTGAAATCACTGGCTATCCGTGCAATCTGATTGGCTCTCAACAGTGTGATTTATTCCTAAATCGCACCATTTTTTGCTCTAAATTGCATCTGTTTCAAATTACATCATTCATGTT